TGAAGATGTAAGGGCTAAGAGCCGACCCTTGGTGGAGTCCGATTTCCACCGGGAAAGCCTCGGTGTCACCAACTGTAGTCCTGACATAGGTAGTAGATCTACAGTACATATCACGATTCGCGCGGATATAAGCAGTTGGGATCCCTCTCGTTTCCAATGTCTTCCAGATCGTATCGCGGGGAACGCTATCATACGCCTTCTCAAGGTCAATGAACGCCATGTGAAGATCTCTATTTTTTCCCTATATTTCTCCATAAGTCGTCGAAGTAGATGAATCGCCTCCGTAGTAGACCTGCCTGGCATAAAGCCAAATTGGTTTTCTGAAACCCTAGTAACCTGTCTCAACCTAGCCTCTATCACCCTTTCCCATAGCTTCATGGTATAGCTGAGTAGTTTAATACCTCTGTAGTTTCCACAACGTTGGGGATCACCTTTACTCTTATAGGTTGGTATCACCGTAGACTCTCTCCACTCCTCTGGCATCTTGGCAGTCTCTAGAATAATATTAAAGATGTTGGTCAACCACTTAACTCCCTCTTCTCCTAGGGCCAACCACACAGTGATAGGAATTTGATCTGGACCGACAGCTTTGTCCCTTCCCATCTTTCTAAGAGCCATTTTGACTTCCTCAAACCCAATCTTACTTGTAGGGCAGTCAATGACCGTTGTATGATGGCGGCTGACCCATCAACGGTACTATCTCTACAGGAGGCACTGTCATTAAATAAGCCAAAGAAGTAACTACCCCAAACCCTCTTAATATCATGATCTTTCACTAAGAGGCACCATTGTTGTCCTTAATAAACCTAATGCTACCTATATCCTTTTTCCTATTCTCCCTGGATTTTGCAAGCCTGAAGATGCCGTTTTGACCTTCCTCAGTGTCTAATCTCTTGTACATTTCCTCGTATGCCTTATCCTTTGCTTTAGCCACCTTTTTTGGCTTCCGCTTTGCCTATCTTTGTTTAGCTTTCGATCTCTCATCGTCAGTGCATTGTAACACTCCTTGAAGCAAGTTTGCTTTGTCTTCACCTTAGTTTGGACTTCGTCGTTCCCCACCACGATTCTTTATGTTCCTTGACCTTCCCTCGACAACCCAAGGGTGTTTTTGCCTACCTCTCTGATGGAATCTACCATATTTTTCCATAACAAATCTGCATTTTTTTAGTTTGAAGTTTCAAAACTTGTATTAGACAAAACCTTACTCCTAAAGTCATCAGTTGTGGCTCCATGTAAGTTCTTCCAAAGGATCATAGGTTTACCAAGCTTAGCCCTCCTATGAGTGCTCTGCCCGTGGCGAACGAGGAACACCGAAACCAACAATCTGTGTTGTGACGCGCATGCCTCTTTAGGGAACACCTTACAGTCAGTGCAAGCCCATCGATCCCGATTTCGAACCAGGATGTAGTCGATTTGGGTACAATGTTCACCGCTATGGAACGTAATCAAGTTCACATCTCTCTTGTTAAAGAAGGAGTTTGTGACCACCATATCGTGTGCAATTGCAAATTCAAGCAACGTACGCCCCTCCTCGTTCCTACTACCAAACCCGAAACCCCCATGAACACCGTCATACCCGTCGGTTCCCCTACCTACATGGCCATTGAAGTCTCCCCTATGAAAACCTGCGCATTGGGCCCCTGACTGCTAAAATCTGATCAAACACTGTCGACTGACTTTCATGGGTTAGGGTTAATTCTTATGGCTGAATTTATATATAAGTTGAAAGAAAAAAAAAGTTAATGAAGACAACATCATGTTCTCCTTGGAAAAAGAGAACAGTCTAGCCCATCTGTCAAATCCAATTTCCTACCTGCTTGACTCTTTTGATATCATTAAATTTCTTCTTCTTTAAAAACTTTGGTCATTATTTTCTTCATTTTAGGTCATAACTTAGTTGGTTGGGTGATTCCATGTTTTAATAATAAAATCTATACATATATTCAAACATTGAATTGTTCGCATACTTTTTGTGAATTTATTTTTATTTGAATCTAATCTATAAATTCAATATAAAATATGTAAATATTATTAAAATACTATTTTTAAAAAAAAATAGTAAACTAATATGTTGTAATCATAGCAGAACAACATTTAATTTTATCACTTATATCATTTAATGAGTTCGGTTTAAAATATATTTAATATATAATATTAAATATTTATTTAATTCGATTAATTAATCGATTCATATTGAATTAATCGTTATTTAAATATTAAATAAATTAATTATTTTTGGATTGAATTAATTTTAATGTTTGATCGTTTAATCGAACTAATTCAATTTGATTGATTAAAATCTAGTAGAGAACATCCTACGTCTAACACTAATTGATAGGCAAATGTGATGATGAATCTAAATGTGGAAACACTTTGTACTCCAATATTTTTCACGAGTGTGGCAATCTTGTCCCTGAAGCCATATATTAGAAGTGCTTGTTTCATGGAGGGGGAAAGAGGAAAGAGGAAAGAGGAAAGAGGGAGGGGAATCATGAGCTTGGAATAATTATATATATATTAGAAAGCACGTGCTTACAAAATTCAATCATTCTACCCCAAGTATATATAAGGGAACTATAATTATTTTTAAGCTTCAATGTATTTCTACTTATTTAAAATTAGCTGACCCTTATTCCTATGTGTAATGGGGTAAGGGGAGGTAGGATAGTAGACTGCCCCCAGCGTCAGGTTGAGAGCAACTTCCGTAGGAGACCTCCAAATTATGAATTGCCCTCCGTGAGACTCGATCTCACGACCCCAAGATTAAGAGTCTTATGCTCTACAAACTGAGATGGATGGTCATTTCGTATTTCTACTTATTTAAGGATTTTATATACCTCCATCTCTAAAATAGTAAAGAATCTACTTTCTCCAACTCTTATAATTTATAAACAATAAGAGGAGAATTTGTTAAAAGACTGCTATCTTATCTCATTTGTTGCAGCACTTCGGGTTTGAGAGGTTTTATGTGTGTGGATTCTGAATCATACTTGCTAATAAATTTAATTAATTAAATCTTAAATTCAATTATATTAGTACTATTACATATTAAAGGTTGTTAGTTTGAATATTTAAATTCTTTTTTATTTATAAATGAGGCAATTAAAATTCAAATATTTTTAAGAAGATATCATGATATTAATTTATGACCTAGTCCTTAAATTCTATTAAATTTTCACTGTGATATATAAATTATCATTTTTGTCCCATTTGATCCTCAAATAAAAAAATATATGACACATATTTTCAAAATCTCTAACTAAATTAAGAAACATATATGATTAAACATGTGCGAACTGATCACATATAAATTGTTATAACAACAACAACAACTAGATTAAGGTTTGATTGATAAAAATATAAATTTTCCTCGTTAATTATAGAATTTGATTGTTTTTTTTTCCTTTCTTGTTCCCAACTACTCTATAATACACAAAATAGTTAAGATAGAAGAACTGTAAGTTTAACCATATGGGTTGATGGTAGAGAAAAGTGAGAGATGAAATGAATATATATATCCCAAGGAAGAAAAAGCAAACAAATTCTCCAACACAAAACAGCAAATCATCTTTTTTTTCTCTATACATTTGGCATGTGAAAACATGGATATCAAACTTCAAATTCCCAAACTCTTTCTCCGCCCATTTTATTGCAACTGAGGCACCAAAATCTATGCAGTCTGACTCCCCCCTCCTCTTCTTAATATATCACCATCATTTCACAGCTCAAACTCCAAGGTTTTCCCATCGCCCAGCTTTGGGAGTATCGGATTTCAAAGAGAAAGTCTGTGGGTTACTAACATATCCATGCATGATTTGTATGCGTCGCGGCAAATGGGTTTAAGCAAAAATTTCAATTGCTTTTCTCTCCTCTTTCTACTACTTTCGTTCTTCCTGTTACAGTTAGAATTTTCAAGCTCAAGCCATGGAAGCAGCTTTAAGAAATCAGCTATTTCAGTTTCTTCTCAACGCTTCAATCCGCCTGTTCATGGTGATGGTTTTGAAGCTGGAAACCACAAAGCTAAAGATGGTGGTGGTGCTGATGATGGAGTTTTCGGTGATGAAAAGAGAAAAGTTCATACAGGTCCAAATCCTTTACATAATAGATGATTTAATATATAAAAAAAACTTTATTTCCTTAAAGCTATGTACTTTTCTCTCTTTGTTCATAGGAATTAATTGATGTAATATCAATCCCAGCAATCTTAGAGTGGCAGTTGATTTTTTTTTTGCATTAATTAATATTTTGTGTATATAATTACGCAGGAGAATGGCAAATATCGATGCTCTGTTGGCATTGATGGGTTTGCTGGTGACCGTGAGAGGCAATGTTTGTTACGTTAGGTGGATGTTTTTATCATTTTCAAGGCTGTAAAATTTGATTAATTTGACAATGAAGATGCTATTTTTCTCATTCTCCTTTCATCCTCTTTAAGTCCTAATTTTTAAACCCAAAATCTGTATTTAATTATGTACCAGTACAACGCATTTTTTAAAATAATTTTTATTATAAACTTCCTATCAATTGAATTTAATAATATCATATGAACGAATATTATTATGGAATTTCACTTTCGTATTATCATATTATTCTCGATCAAAAAAATTATTTGATTTTGAATCTTAAAATTCTCGTAATCTTAATCTTATGATTACAAAATAAAAATATTTTATCAAAATTTATTTCCCGAAAGATAAATTAATGAAACTAAAATTTAAGTTTGGAGGCAGTTGTAGAATATAAGCTTAACTCTAAAACTTGTTAAATGAAATAAGAAGAATAATAAAGGCTTTTAAAATTTGGTATTGGGCTTAGATCCAAAGTCGATAAAGAGTTTTAGTGGTATAATTGAAACATAGATAAAAACATAATTATAATTAATAAATTAAGAGTTTAATGATGTAAATTATATAGAATCTAAAGTTTAGTGGTATATGATGTAATTTACCTTAATATAAAACCGGCTTATTCTTTTCTGCTAGGACCCTCGAACGCCCACGAGTTTGAATCAGAGACTCCTACTACTTTATTATACACATTCTAAAAGATCGCTCGTAGAGATCACCCGATGGCGAGCGGTGACGTGGACGCAGTGGATTTTGAACCGGAGGATGACGATCTCATGGACGAGGACGCCGCCGGCGACGCCTCCCCTCAAGCACCGTTGCCCAAGCTCAAGTCCGCCATAACTGGCGCCGCTTCCACCTCTCTTTCTGGCCCTAAGAAGACCAAGGGCCGTGGCTTCCGCGATGAAGACGCTGACCGCAACTCCCGCCTCGCCTCCCGCGACTTCGAGTCTCTCGGCACTGACGGCGACCCCGGTCCCCAGAGATGTTAGTCCCTCCACTAAACCCTAATTTTCTCCCCCTCTTTACTTGTGGTCTCTCCTTTTCTTTAATTTTCTTGGGTTTAATTCTTAATTTTGCGGCCTAGAAAACAAGATCATTACGAGATTGGCTTAATTTTTGCTATATGAAAGTTGCTCAGTTATTTCAGAACAAAATTTGGTCTTATAGTTTTGGTTTAGTGAGTTGAGGCTTGAGCGGGTCTCTGACTATTTTTTTGGTAGTTGGCATATCTTTTCTCCAATAGAATCTTGTTAACTTTGTACAAGTTCTTTATTCGCTAGCAGTTCTAGTAACACTTATTCATAAACTAATGATAAAAAAAACTAATCTTAATGATAAGAAATTTATCATGAAAAGTTGTTTTAGTCTTGAGTTCATGGTATATGAGGTTATTCCAGGATTGGACTTCAAAAATGATTCGTTTTGCGGACTGTTGCAACTTCCTAACCTTTTGAAAGTCCAATTCCTTAACCCAGAACAAGTGTAATAGATGATGCTTCATAAATTTTATGGCCCACAGTTTGTGTTCAACCAACAGAATGTAAGATGTATTTGTCTGCCGATTGGGAATGGTTAAAAATTTCTGAAGTGGATGCATTTCTAAGCTTGGTTACTAGACATAACCGTTTTAAGTTTCTGAGGCGGAAAGTGAAGTTGATTATTGGGACTGAAAATAGGTATTCTATCTTCAATTCTATGCTTAAGCAATCAAGGTTGTTATTGCAAAGTACAAGAGGAGATTGTATTTGGAATGAGAGGAAATTACTGAGAATAGTTTTCCTTTTCCTGCTTTTACAGAAACTTGTTTTAAACTTGTGTGATGCACATGACACAATTCATTGGAAAATATTTAACATCTTATTGTAATTTCCTCTTGATTTCTAAGGGTTATTTATATATTTAACATCTTGGCTGATTGTTGAGGTTTACTTTGTTCCATTACTGAAAGCATAGACACTTTTTAAAACCAATCCATACTCCCTTAGATCTATCCTGCAATTTTTAAGGTTGTGGGCATCCCTTCATTTCCTACATGATGCCAATTTATCTCAAGTTGTATAACATGTAGATAAAAACAATTGTGTCCAAGAATGAAATAAGCTTTTCCTTCATGTTTGTGAACTCTTCTTCTCAGTTCTCAATAGTAATATATTTTTATTCTCATTAATAATTGTGCAGCTATTGAAGGATGGATTATTTTGGTCAGTGGTGTACACGAGGAAGCACAAGAGGATGATTTGCACAATGCATTTGGTGAATTTGGAGAGATTAAGAATTTGCATTTAAATCTTGATCGTCGCACTGGATTTGTCAAGGTAGTTAACATAATAAATTGGTGCTATATTTATGACCATTGTTTTTTGCAATGTTATACTTTTCAAGTTCTCTTTATAGTGGTGGAACTCTTTTGCATTGCTTATTTTCTATATATTCGTGTGTATATACTTGCATTGCTATATTTATGACTATTTAACTGATGTTTAATATTCTCCATTTTTGTGTTTTCTACATGTATTAGAGAATTTTGGCTCAGTTATACTGTAAGATATCAAGCAGTTCTGTGCTTCTAACTACTTCATATTGTTACTTAAAGCTAGCTTGACACATGTCAATGTCTTTATTTCATAGTATTGGACTATTGTTTGAAGATAATGATACAAAGGACTATTCTTTGACGAACTTTTGCCCTCGTTTACAGTGTTTTCCTTAAAGTGTGTATTTTTGTTCAAGTAAAATTTAATGCAAGTGTTTCCAATTAGGGATATGCGTTGATCGAGTATGAAAAGTTTGGAGAAGCGAAAAAGGCCATATCCACAATGGATGGAGCAGAACTTCTAACGCAGACTATCAATGTTGATTGGGCCTTTAGCAATGGACTCGGTGCTGGAGCCTTCAAAAGAAAAAATATGAGGTTTGTCTCTCTTAATGAGCTGCTGCTGCCGAGTGTTATAACCCTAGGAGATTAAAGAAGAAGTATAGACGAAGAATTGAGAGAATTAAGATTAAGGAGAGAAAATAATAGATTCAAGAAACTTAGAATTCATTCAATTAAAGCATACTTTCTCCTCCTCTAGTACATGGTTTATATAATTACAGTGTTCCCATAGTTACCCTACAGCTGGCAGTCCTGGTTGTACTGAGTATAACCACCTGCACAGCTAAGCAAGATGTTTCTTATCCTTAGTGGGCTGTAAAACATGTTAGGTCCAGTCCCAATTTCAAATCCCTAACCCTTTCTCTGATTTCCCCAATTCTTTTGCTCCGATTCTTATCGCTTCTCCTCTGATCATGACAATACCCTCCCCACGAAATGATCCTTGTCCCCAAGGATCAAAATCTGAGAATTGTGTTGGAAGTACAATATAATTGACCACAGTGACATTTTCCAGTCCTAATTTCATCCACTGCATCTGATTGTGCTCCTGCTCCTTACGTTTGTCGAGCATTATAGAACCATAGAACCTTGCTGCCAGCTTCAATCCCTTTCGAAGAGCAAGTGAGGTTTGATGGTAAGACCGAAATTTCAGGTAAATTCTGTCCTCTGTCTTTATACCTCTGTCTGTCAATTTTATTTTAGCAAAAAAATTCAGCCTTGCTTGAGTCTTCTGAAAAAATTTCAGATTCAAAAGTTGTTGTTCAAGTAACTGATTCTTGCTGCTTTCTTTGTTGACTTCCCATATAGTTATGACATTCCCCTTCCCTTGAAAAGCTCTGAGAAAGAGAATTGGGGAAATCAGAGAAAGGGTTAGGGATTTGGAATTGGGACTGGACCTAACATGTTTTACAGCCTACTAAGGATAAGAAACATCTTTTCTTGCAATGCCTGTGCAAGGGCATCTGAGGCATCACCTTTAGTCTCAGCAGTATTTAAATCCAGCATGCCCCTCTTTTTGCAGTGCCTTTGCAAGGGCTTCTAAGGCACTAAGCTTAGTCTCAGCAGTATTTGAATAGAGCAAATCCCTCTCTTTTACCTCATCTTCATCACCAAGTTCTAAATCTTCCTTGCTAATATCAACAAATTTATTTTCTTTAAAGGTCTGCAGATTTTGGATGGCAACCTCGTCGATAGGCTCAATTAAATAGAGAACCTCAATGTCTTTTTGAACCAACTTCTCCAAAAATGGAGCGGTCTTGGCACTTTTCAAGCTGTCAGTTGCCAAGTAATAAATTGCCTTTTGATTCTCACTCATATTTTCAACATATGTATCCAAACTCGTCAATTCCTCTTCACTTTTTGATGTGTAAAACCGAAGTAATGGAGTTATACGTTTGTGATTACCAGTGTCTTCGATGCAGCCCAACTTTAGAAACCTGCCGAAGTTCTCCCAGAATTTTTTGTAATCCTTTTTATTTTCACTTTTAGAAATCTCTTGAATCATGTCAAATGTTTTCCTGACAAGCCTCTTTCTCATAATTCTCACAATTCGACTCTCTTGAAGGGTCTCTCAAGAAACACTAAGGGGAAGATCATTTGAGTCCACAACACCCTTCACAAAGCTCAAGTATCGTGGAAACAGCTCCCCATCAAACTCATCCGAGATAAATACACGCTTCACATACAAATGTATATTCTTTGTTTTAGAATTCGTGACATCCTCATTGTTGAGAGGGCCCATGCCAGGAATGTACAACACACTCCTAAACTTGACCTCACCTTCTGTATATTGGAAGTCAACCGAATTAATCGAAGCATATTTCCACGTCAAAAGACCTTCATTCCTCCAGCTTGTATCATAATAAGTGACGGTTTTATTACTCAATTCTTCTTGAACCTTCATTTGATTTTGAAGTTGCTGTGCAAATTCCAACCTATTCCAATTTTTTGTTCTGTCCATGTAGAGGTTTAGCCCCTCGACATTGAACTCACATTTGATGAATTCATCAACACCACCTGTGAAAACTTGTCTGAATAGTTTGTCATTACTGTCATGATCTGTCCAATGCTGAAACGTTAGCTTTGACATTTTTTCAAACAGTTTATACCCTCTATTGTGAAATATCCTAATATCACTGGCTGTAAACTCATTGATAGAGTCACCATGTGCTGGTTTAGATTTTAGAATTTCGGGTTCATTGTGCTTATATGAAAATTGGGATTCATTCATCCCTGTAACTAACATAGGCTTCTTCCCATCAGTCTTAGGAAGGTTAGGAATATTTACTTGTTCATTCTCTGAAATGGTTTGTTCTTGTTCCTCTGTCCTCCCAGTCAAAATCATCAAAATTTGCTCCACACAACCTTGATTCGTTGTCATCCTTGACTCCAGTTTTCTGATCCGATTATCCTATTCTTCCCACCATTTAGGAGGTTTTGTGCCATCCGTTGCTTGCTTCACCAAGGTTGTAAGTTCTGCAATCTGCTGCTGGATTGAAGAAAGATCAGGAGTTTCGACCATGGTTTGGTATTTTTCTGGGTATAGTAATGAACAAGTTGCCAGGAAGAGTGGCTCTGAATACCAATTGTTATAACCCTAGGAGATTAGAGAAGAAATATAGACGAAGAATTGAGAGAATTAAGATTAAGGAGAGAAAAGAATAGATTCAAGAAGCTTAGAATTCATTCAATTAAAGCATACTTTCTCCTCCTCTAGTACATGGTTTATATAATTACAGTGTTCCCATAGTTACCCTACAGCTGGCAGTCCTGGTTGTACTGAGTATAACCACCTGCACAGCTAAGCAAGATGTTTCTTATCCTTAGTGGGCTGTAAAACATGTTAGGTCCAGTCCCAATTCCAAATCCCTAACCCTTTCTCTGATTTCCCCAATTCTCTTGCTCCGATTCTTATCGCTTCTCCTCTGATCATGACACTGAGTTGGATTAATTGGTAGAATATATCAACAGAGCATGTTAAAACTATGGAACATGATAATCACTGGAATTGAAGCAATCCATATTTGAACTACTTCAGTCTAAGATGACCGAAGCTAGAAATGACCTACCTGAGCACAAACCAGCTTAACTCGATTCAAATGCTAAGCGCCAAACTTGGCCAAACCCCTAAACTTAGCTTGATTGTTTGAAAATTTAGAACTTTTTTAGCTGTCATTTCCTTGTGTAAATGCAAAATGTGTACGGGGTCCTAACAGTACACTTTGTAAAATTCTGTAGATCTGGAAGGACACATCGCTCAAGGAGCCCTCGGAGAAGATACTAATTTGTTGAGCTCCATATTAACAAGAGAAGATGTTGTTCGAAGCTTAATTTACTGAAATTTTGGGTTTGTATTTGTTTTTGGCTGATGAATGGTGCCCCCTCGTACTGTATTTTTTCTTGCTTTTCCACTGCGGCTTTTTAGCTTTTGATATCCAAGTTTAACTTAGAAGTAATGCGTCTCGATAATTGTGATTTTTTTTCTTATTTTTTTTTTGTTTCTAAGATATTATTGAGACTCCCTTTCTATGAGAACCATTAATAGATTCTAGATTATGCAGGTAGTTTGTTGTATTCTAACTGAGCCATCGAAAGATGACCGATTCTAGGAACAAAGATGGTTGAACTATGCGTCTTTCAGTTCTCCTAATAAGGTTTTAGCACTATCAAATAAAGGTTCGAGAATTGGCGATGGCTCAACCTTTCCGAAAGTACGTAGCAGTTTAGAGATGATTTACAAGAAAGTGCACAAAATGAGAAAAGTTGTTTTACTTCAATGGCATTCGTTAAGATACGGAGATGCATACCTCTAAGCTCCATATACTACTGATAAAGTTACTGGTTTTCTTCACACGGTATAATGCAAAAATTAAAACATCCTGATTACAACTCCAATCACCTTCGTAATCTCCAAAAGAAAAGAATGTGAGAAAAAATAAGTTTACATGCAACAATTTAGGATGTACAACAACACGAGACATTATAGTTCCTCCAGGTTCACTTGTTAGTTCCATGGTGGCAATGCCGATGGTTTGTGTAAATAATCCTGCGAGGATGTTCCATAGTTCAGATCAAGGTTGTGAGGCTGTTCTATTAGTTGGGATCTCCTTTCCTTGAAAAAATCAAGACGGCTTGTTAACTCTACCAGAGCTGATGAAGCTGCCGAAGAATGTCTTGGATAATCAGTCACCTGCAATTCACAGCAGCATCAGTTATCAACTAATTATTCCGTAAAAGAATGATCAGGTACAAGTTGGATGATCTGCCAGTTAAAAAAGTTCGTATATTTAGATAGAAACAGACAATTGATCAGTGTTACCTCTCCTGCTCTTGAAGTGGATGGGATAGAGGCAGAATTAACCTCATCCATAGACATCAGCCGACAGCCCAGTACTTTTTGAGTCACTCAAGCTTGATGACTCCATTAATTGCTTTCGAGTAGGCAGCCGGTTGCTGTTGCCGGTTGCCAATTCCTGTCCTTTAACATTCTTCCAATCTGGCCCTAACAAACTCTCCTGCAGATAGTTTTAAAAATGCATATGGACCGAACATGAATATGTAAAGTTAGAGAACAAAGAAGACAAAATCTCTCTTTGAGAGAAAAAGTTCAAAGGTAATAGCATTAGCTTCACGGCACAGGAACTGACGCAGAAAACTTAAAAAGGTATTAACTGATCTGTACTCGACATCAATTTACTTTCATAGTCATTACCAACAAAACTTCTTAATCCATGGCAAATAGAAGTTAGAATGAGCATCAGTCAATTTTATATGTAGAGGAAATATCTCCAGAGCAAATGGCGCTCTAGTTGATAGCAAGGTAAAGCCTTAATAAAGTAAAATTTGGTTAAGAGAGCAAATGGCACAAGAAATGTGTAAATGGAGAATCATAATTTGCGCTAGGGCTCGAGTATGTAAATCAAGCGACCAAGTGCGCTGGAATAGTTTGATTTTATCTCAAGCCGAACTCAAGAATAAAAAACATAGACCTAAAAGTTTGGAGTTGAGCTCAAGCTTTTTATTTCTCGAGCCTGGGTCGGCAAAATTATGCCTACATTTTTCTACAAAAAGGTATCCACTGTAAGATGAAAACGCATACAAATTATGATCATTTCCAAGAAAACCATAAAATTAGGACAAACAGCCTTCAGTCTTTAAAATTTCTCCTTAATGAAATTCCATTTCAATCCATCAAGATGCATAGATTTTTTTTTTTAAATGTAATGAATGCATACCTCTGTTCTATGTTTCCTCTCATGATTACAAAAGGCGAGGGTTGTATCAAAATCCTGCTGAAGAAACCTCCTTCAAAAATCATATACATACATTTAAGTACAAGGAAACGAAGACTAAATATTACAGACATACTGTTTACTGTTTCAGGTAGTTAAAGAGTGCATAGTAAAAACTTCATCAATAATGATAAAACAATATATAAATTATCAATCCGTAGAAACTCTTCAAAATCATCACATTACATATAATAACTACCACTTCAAGATAATAAAAACTGTTCATAACCATGTAGCAAAAAGCTTCTCTTCCTCCCTAGGAGTTACTCATCTATTTTTTTTAAAATAGTAGTAATTACATCCCTTTCAAACATCAAACCCAAGCCTAATTAATAATTACCTAAGGCATTTGGCTTTAATGATTCAGAAACTACTAAAATGATGGCCCTCCTCCCACAATCCACTTGACAATATCTGCCTATAAGATATGGAGTAATATAAGTCTATCCTCTTAAGTGCTTGAGTTCACCTTAGTAGCCAAAAACTTCAAAAGACCTTGGCTAAAATTACATGTCGGGTTTCAGAATCCTCAGGAGGGAACTTGAAAGATAACTCACAATGCAAGGTACCAACAGTCGAAACAAGTCGCATGGTTTTGGGCATCAATATGCAAGATAAAAGTTCATATGATAAAGTAATATCAAAATATTAATCCAGAACCGACATGAATAGTTGCTTCGTTGATAGCAATCATTATGACCTCATGAGTCTGCCATGCAACTGCCACTAATTTTAGACATATGGAGCTTTAAAAATAAATGAACAGAAAGATTCCATTTACTCTCAACGTTTTGGACACGTTGATAATGGTCACATGCAGTAGATATAGAACCAAAATGGTGCTGCCGTTGCTGATTCAGCTGATGATGGAGTTCTGCAACTTTCTGCTTCAATCTAGCCACATCAGCTTCAGCAAGAGCAATCTCCTCTAGCTCAGCGCTCGTCTTCACATCATTTTAAGTTATAAGAATGAGGGTTGCTAGATTTATAAAGAATAATGGTTCTCTTGACATCAGTACCAACCTTGGAATCTATTTAACGGGAACTAGAAAATTCCCCAGATGAAATGCTCAATCCAACTTCAAGGGCAGCTCTAAGATTCCTTTCAGCTTGCAACTGCTCTTGCAATCTAGAAACCTGCACAGTCATTTAGAGGTAAGTAGGGACAAAACAAGAACTATAATTCTTCGGCAAAAGGTTAGAAAACTTGTCCAAGAAGAATCATTCTTTCACAAGAAAGTAGATTTTAGTTCTGTGTTGGAAATACTGCACAACAATTTACAGTTCATAGAGTTTCCAATTATTACCCTTTTGCTCTATGTCCACAAATGTTGCGGAAAAGAATTTCAATATAAAACTATTTCACAGTAAATGCAAGCCACAAAATTGTCAAGTGAGCACGACCCTCTGCAGATTGAATTTCATGTAGTCATCTGAGTAGCCATCATCAATCCAACAACCCTCAATTTCCAAAGGCATTTTATAATGGATGCAAGAAACATAAGAAGAAAGATATTTGCAACTGCATGAACCTGTTCTGCAGTTATTGTCCAGAAAGTTTTAAAACCTTCTCTTCCAACAGGTAAAGAAGTTCACAGATCTAGCATCTTAAGTATCAAATTTAAGAGTAAGGCCCAATAGAATAAACAGAATAAGGCAATATAAGCAAGAGTGCAAGACACAGTTGTTCTTGATGATGGCATAAAATTTAAAATCAAATGATGAACCCTAACTAGAGATAAAGTTACTATCTAATTCCTCACTAAAGCAGAAAAAGAAATATATTGAAACATGCCTTAATAAAGCACATAGTACTAATCCAAAATGATTGCAAATAACAAATTCCTAACACTCAATTAATTGATGAACATATGTAGTACAAATATCAGCAAACAGATTAAGAAATAAATTTTTCTTGGGAAAAATAAGTGTAGAATAGGTAAGAAATAAATACACCTTGTTCAAGTGCCAAGCGACGCTCATGCAAAGTTTGTTTTCTTCTTTCAAAGCTAGCTTGTAAAATTGCGTTTCCTCTAGCCTATAGAAGGTTGTGAGCAATCTGTCAGTGGAGACAAAATATTTTGGTCGAGTATATTATGATTTCAAAAAAGTAGTGCTTACTGCTTACCTCTTCCGCAATACGATGTTGTAGGTCATTCTTAGCAATCTCAAGCCCCTGTATAGCAAGCCTAGAGAGAGGGAAAAAACCAACAAATTGATTTTGCAAATATAATATGGTAGACATCAACTGCAAGCTATATTTTGACAGTGGTAATAAAAGAATTCAACTGTACACTGTTTTAACATATTGGATCTTACAACAATACCAAGCTAAAAATAGAAGTTGACCGATTTTTAAGAGGAACTAAAATTCATGCTTATGCTAAGCAAGAGTTGCAAAAGCACAAAGCCCAGATAATAGTTTTCAAATGCAGACTATTAGTTAAAAGAAATCCAAATAACAAAGCAGAAGGCTACAAGATCTGATGAGAAACGTACTCTTCTTCACCAGAAGAATCAACAGATTCCATTGACGGTGTCTTTCTAGCCTGTATAACAAAGCAAATGAAGATTCAAGGGAGTATGGTTTTACTCTGTCAACAAAACTGTAAAAGTAAAACATCTCATTGTGTTTGTTTGTGTCAAACCAAAGCACATGTACATCCGCCAACAAAATAAAGAACAACATTTGAGATGGACATATGCTTTACTGATGAGTGCAGTAACAATTTTTACAAATATGCATGTTGTAACACCCTGACCCGTACTCGACCCAGATACGAATATAAAATGTCACATTTGACTTTTCAAACATATAAAAATCACAAATAAGCATAATTTTAAAATTTATTGTTTCAATCAAAATAAAATAAATAATAATACCATTCTAAATCGGAAATCATTTCACAAAATATCTTAATAATTTATATAGATAACCGAAAGGGTAAGAGTTTACAAAATACAAAATACAAAATATATATATTTTCAAAATCGACCAGAGCATTTCAAATTAAACATCTAATACATGCCAACAGTTTAAAAAGTAAACAAAACCTACATTCAATTTGTACTGATCTGATCTTCAAAAGTGTATACTATCTTCAACCCTAAATCGCTTGTCAGCTTTCTTCAAACCTATGCGTAAGAGAACACACGCTAAGTCG